ACACTCTGTGTATACATACTCCTCTCTAGTCCGAAGTTATAGGATTTGAGCCCTAGCTGTGCCAAATCTTTTCTCTTCTATTTCTATTTTCTTTTCTTTCTCTTTTTTTTTCATTTCAATTTAAATTCTTCTTCAAAGGATTTCTTAGGTATGTTTGGAATAAACACACATTTATGAACACTTCGACAATGTAGCTCTTGCATCAAATCAATAACAATGTTGAAATTCAGAGGTGAGACCCTGCAAAAAAAATGGCAGACTATTGTCTCCAATAGTCTGCCATTTTGAAAACTGCAAGGGGTTTTGGGGGAGGTTTGCTGACTTGCTGACACCATAACATAGTGTCTACAGCTTTCCTAGAAGGACAGCACAGTAGGCACAAAAATATTCTTAAACTGAGACTTGACTAACAAAAATGTAATTGTTAAATATAAAATGAAAAGATGTCCGACTTTGAAAAATGTACGCCAGAATATGAAAATCCTACCTATTTTCTTTCTGGTGAAGGATAAATGCACTTCTATTTATCAACTGCCAAGAACAAATTCTATGACATATCACCAACAAAGACCTTCAAAAGCCATTGTTTAGAATTTATCCTGTATTCAAATAACAGCTCTACCTCAGGTCCACAAATCATTGATTCATGCAATAATATTCCAGAGTTCACTGACAAGAATTCTACTCTTATAAAAAGACAACTTCTGTTATGTTAAAGTTTTCCTATGACATTTCCTACCAAAATGTTTTCTAATCTACCCTATTGTAAACATTATTTAAATAATAGTCCTTCGATTTCTTGTTCTTCAGTCTTATGCCAGTTCCCATGCTCTTTTTTTGGAAAAAAAAGGATAAAACAAAATTTGAAATATCAAAGAACACTAATTGTCTTTTAACATGTTAAGAATTTTTCAATTGAGTGCTAGTGCAAATGAGTTCAAGTCAAACTAAAACTGGCCTGTATATCAAAATGTAAATTTATATCAAAAACAGTTCATACCACAAAACAAATGTGGGTCTAGATCTGCTTTTGCTGTTTTCCAATACAATGCATTGCTACATTTGTAACTGCTCTTGACCTTCTATAAAAAGTTCAATTTTCACTCAGTGCCACTATACTGCAAAATAATTTGATTGTGGAAATAGAATTTGATTATGCAGTACATGTTTACTTAAACAAAACCTTTTTTCTTTTTTTCTGGTCATCAGATCCCAGTTTTTAATAACATAAACTCTAAATGACTAATTTTCCTTTGAAGGTTTGAGTAACACCGGAATAACCTACATGTACTTGAACATGCAGAATCTCAAGAAAACATGGCCTCATTTTGAGTGAAAGGAACTTAAATTGCTTTAAAAGGAGGGCTTTATATAGAATTGATAATTCTATCATATGGTATTAAAAATTTCAAATTGGATCAAATGTCAGATTTAAGTAAGCTACAAAAACATGCATCACCAGGTTGAAAACCATTTGTTCAAGCGAACACCTCTTTATCCTTTTTTAATTATCATTAGTAATTCATTTTTTCGGTATTAATTGCTAATCCATTACACATAGACATTTTTTCTTAGAGCTAAATGCACAAGTTAAGAGGTATTTCAAAAATTATAAACTTTAAACATATTTCAAACTTGAAAGATTTTATTACTAATCCAATTCAAAATTTGGTGCCAGACTGACTGACACTTTTCCACAAATATGAACTGTTGAGGTCTCTCAAGCCCTCTTTCCAGAAATTCAATTCAGTGTCATCAAACTTAATTCTATTGGTACAGTTCTTGGAAAACATTTAGGGATTTTTCACCTTTAAAATGAAAAAGTATGAATATTAATAATTTCTTCTGTAGGATTAACACTAGATCATTAATTTACAAAATTTCACTTTCTTTCCTGTCATAACTTTGCAGGAAGCCAAATTTTCGCCTCTAAGCTTGCTAAAAAATTGAAGTAATTGAAAAAAATAAAACAACAATCACTTACAGCTGTTTTTCTCTTTAATCAGATAACCAAACTCCGTCACACCACTAAATAAAAAAAATAAAAAAGATACTTCTAAAACTTTTTGCCTTTTTTAAATGCAAATCTCTCTTGGCAATATACAAAATATCATGGTCAAAAACTGAAATTGTACATCAAGTTGAACTCCTAAATTCTCTAAACGGCTCCTCAGAGGTTGTAGCCAGGTGCCTGAATAAACAGAACCGTCGGTCTAAGACATTTCGGAAATTTAAAACACGATCAAATATGAAAAGCAATATTAAAAAGTAGCAAAATCACTCTGTTACTGCAAAAGGGGATTCCACGCTAGTACGAACTTTACAAAAAACGAAAGCGGCGAGAATTTATCAGCAAAACAACTTTAATTGAGACCGGAAATTCACCTTTTCAAGAACATCGTTTTGCAAATTGCACCCTAAACGAAGCATAGCAAACTTCAAGTGATCAATTAGAAGGCATCACTCTTAATGATAAGACATGAATCTAGAATTATTTGTAAACACGCAGCATGGAACATCTGAGAATCTATGGAATTAGAAAACATGACAAAAGCGTCGCAATTAAGAGAACACACATTTGAGGAAGACAATTTAGCAATTTAAAATAACACATGTTTATGACATCTGCCTTCCTAATAAGATCTTACTTACGTGTATCTGCAACATTTGATTACCTCAAAAAGTATTATGAGGCCAAATGGATCGATCCTTAAGTGAACCAAATCTGTCTTCTTTACTATCGCAAATTAAGGAATGTCAAGCCAGTAAACACAGTTAATTTTACTGTACGCTACTTCTAAAATAAATAGAAAAACATTGACTGTAATTTAACCCTGGCGCGCCAGACTCAGGCAGAGGATAATACATCGAGAATTTTGATGAGCGTTACGATTATTAGTGAAATCTTTATTAAACGCGATAAAGAATGAAAAAGGCGTAATAATCGATCCCTAAACGACCCAGGTACAGCTGCTTTTCGACGAATGGTCCAATATAGACGGCACACGAGTGATTCTTAATTTAATTCAAGCTTACAAACAACGAGTTACCGCCAACAGAGCTTAGTGCAGTGAAATTGAAAATTTATCATTTACTCTGCGGGTGTATGTCACTTTTAGCGGCGATCATATCCAAGTTATAAAATATTTATTGTATTCAACGCTATCCAAACCAACGTTGTGTTGACTTTTTTTCGCCAACGTTCTTTCTCACCCTAATTAACAGACGAACAGAAAAAATTTGACAAGTTTCAGCTAGCGCTACCATTTGCACATGCCGCGGCTTTTCAACCACTTTTTTGCTTTTGTTTCCCGATAACTCTTTGCTCTGTTAGAAACGTCGATGCACCTTTCTGACCTTACCATCTTTTCTGTAATAGAGGATCTCCACGTGTTTCTCTTCATGTCCCCTGAGAGCAGCTTTCACCTCTCGAGCAGAGTACTCGTTCGTCTTCTCGCCGCAAAGGAAGTCACAACTGCAATGTTTTTGAACCAATTCCGCTCGACTATACCCTGTCAGCTCACAAAACCCGTCGTTGCAATAAATAATAGGAAGATCGGCCACTTGAGCGTTACCCAGGACAAAGTTTCGGTCCGCTACACGAATTAAAAGCAATATGAATTAAAAATAACAGCTCACTATTGTTGAGAAGTGAAGTTTTGTATGAATACATGTAAACGAAACGCCTGTATATTTTCTAACAATAAACTTACGCGACCCGTCGAATTTCTTGATAATTGTTTGAATAAAGATGTTCTGAGGGGCCACGAGGCCTTTTTTCACCGGCATTACGAGGAAAGAGAGATCCCTTACAAACGAACATTCATCGTAGCTCGGAGGCAAATGTGTTTCACACATGAACGACTCTCCAAATACTCGCTTCTGATTGGCTGCCGTCAAATATTGTGTAAACATTAGCAAAACGAGCATTTCATATTTCTCTCGTGATTATCACGTCGAGTCCCACTGGAAGTTTCTGAACATTTTTTAATTACGTTTTCATTTAAATAGGAAAAAAATATCTAAAAGCATATAACGGAGCTTGAAACGTTTCGAACGGATTATGGTAATAAGCGGGGCCCTTTCTTGTGTCAAGTGTCGGAATCATTGTTTTCTCCTAAGAAGTTTGGCCGGTATACATAAAAATGTGTTTTAAAATAATTACAAGCGGTCATTTTCCGAGGCAAAGTAATTATCTCGCTTATTCTTTGCCTTGCATTACAAGAAGCAGACTGTCTATCCATGGTGTCGAGAAAAAAATATTCACAGTCAAATGTATATAGTTTCATGAATAGATTGAAATCTATTCTTAACTCGAAGAAATGGCTATTACAAAGTCAGGTGCAATCACGCTGTTTCGTGACACGAGCACACTCTCTTTCTTTCTGTGTAAACAAACCGACAAGAGTGCAATTTGCCAATTTCTAATGACACCGAAACCTTTCTGTCTTCATAGAAATGGAATATGGTTGTATTTCTCGATTGCGCAAGATCATGTCTATAAATTAGACAGGAAACTTGACGTTAGTCATTGTAATTAACATTAAGAGCATAGTTATTATGTTATCCTGCTAAAATGTTATGAGGATTGATTGCAAGTTATTTCTAAAATAAATATGAAATATAAAAATTTTCTTAGTAATCTGATATTTATTTGCAGCCCTTTGATATGCCTCTTCTTTTCCCATTGATCCTCGATTTAAAAAAATTGTAAATAATTTTATGCGCATCAATTTCATATATATTTTTCTAAACCGATGTATGCTGAAAACAAATAGGAATCGGTACCACATTCACATGATATTTAAGTGGGGGTAGGGAGGTTGAAAAAAATGCTGTAACCATTAGATAGTTCAGTTTTGTTTCGTTGTGAAATTATAAAAAAAACTTTAGACTTGCCATTCAAAAACACTCAGGATAAAAGGGAGGGGGACTCACGCACGTCTTTCCACGCGTGTTACGTGGGAAGCTCGAAGAGATCTGGAACTAAGTCTAGACGCAAATCAAAATGGCGGACGAGAGTGGATATGTACAAGCACGTTTTGTAACGAAACAAACCAAGTAAGAGCAATCATCTGTAGACTTTTGGGAGACTATGGCTCGTGGATATGTTATATATAGGAACGCATGTTTTAAAGCAAGGAATATGAGCATGATTGCACCTCACTGTTCAAAACTGCACAGCAGTACGCACTGTCAACAATTCTGCGATCCACGTGCGGGATTGAGATCGAATGCACACTTCACCAACTACTTCCGATTTTTTGTATGGATTTGTGATTCATTATCGTTTTTATTAATTTGAGCAAATGAGCATTTTAAGATGTATTTCTTTGGGCTATACTTAAGAATACGGTTTGATTTCATGAGATGTCCAATGTTATTTGTCAAGATGGTCTGTGGTAAATGTCTTATTTCCCATACACAGATATGCTGTCCCAGAATCACCGTTTTCTGTGCCGGTGAAAGTTGGATCACAAGAGCTCAATGAACTTATCAATAGTTTACTTTCATCTCATGGTAAATAAAGATAAGTGTGTAATGTTCGCTTAGTTTCACGGATACTTCGTTTTATCATATGTGTATCCAAAAGTACAATTATACAGAATGCCCAATTACTGGACTGTATTTATTTCAATTAGTTGCAAAGGTTAAGTGGTTCTTAAAGATATAGCCTTTTAAATTGCTAAAAAAAAGGCTATGCGGCTATGTGTTTTGTTTCCACATGTGTTTGTAACACTTTCTGAGGGATACAGTATACCTTCGCGGCCGGGTGTCCTTCGCGAAAAAATCGTTAACGCGCTATTTGAAGGATATCCAGAAAAAGCTATACATCTATGGAGAGGTTATGAAATGCACCATCCGGCAAATCTTTTTCCTTCTCAGCTTAATCTAATCGTGAGCTGACTAGGGTGCGACAATTCGAAACAAACGGTGTTTCTTTGAACGAATTAATCGGGCATCAAATGTCATCACACACATCAAATATCTGTACAGTTTAATCCTGAGGGGTCAGTCTTCAAGACTGAGCGGGGATTTTTCGATATTCCTCTTGGTTGCTTTGCAATTTTTCTGTCAAGTTTGCTTACCAAAATTTCAGCAGTATGCTTTACATTTCTCTCAAACGTCATTGTGGGAGATAAATTAGGAAAAACGGATATCCCTCACACAGTTTGTTTTGTCGATATCGTGGGAGTCTTCAAGGCAATCTCTTCAGTTTTCATATCCATTAATTTGTTGAAAGAAGATGTACTTGCATCAAATAAAAGTAGGTTTTTTTTGGCTTTAAAATTTTTGCAAACCTTTCATGCTACTGGGTAACCACATGTCAAGTTATGTCAACACTCTGATTACTAGAAAATTCAACCCTCAATAGAAACACAGAGGTCTCCTGGAGAGTCTCAGGAGACTCGCAGCAAAAATATATGTTGTGGGAAAAGTATTAAGAGGTTGTGTGTGGCAGATCTTTGATTAATTCCGCTTGCCGGCAATTTCAATCTCAAGGTTTAAGGAGCTTGAGCTCTCCAGAAAATTGATGGTTGCTGATTGAGTGCGAGCAGGGAAGGTGCGCAAACCGCCCACTCATATCCGTTTTGCCATTCATCATTAAATTTCTGTAATTTCTTGCTTTAACCCCAAGGCTTTGGTTTGGCTTTCATTGAAGCGCTCTTCTTGTTTCTATCTTCTCCCAATCACAGTCTTGTTTAACACGCAACTGAAATCAGTAGATGTTTGTGAAATTCAAGAACCATGATGTTTTGCCAACATAAACATCTAAGGAATCATTTCTGTTGACACATCATAATTGGTTATTCACACTTTGGCAGACAAAAGAATGCAGTTCAAAAATACATTTTTATAAATAACTTGTGGGTTTCCACATTTTAGAAACATTTTCTATAGAAATTATAGGTAAAACAATCATGTTTAGTTTGACTTGAAAGCAAAATTGAAAAATTGTCCCTTGAAGGCCTAGCATGCCTTAATAAGTGTTGAATATATGGTATGAATTACTCAGTTCTGTAGGCAGCATACATAATGACAGTAATGAATATATTATCTGGTAAATCATCAAAATAGTGCCTTTTTTCAAATGAGAATAATATGATCTTGTGGCCCACCTGTACTGTGAAAAACCAGCCCTTCTCTCTTTGTTGTTATAGAGAGCTGCTCAGATTTATCAAACTATGTGCAAAGATTTATGGCAGTATTGAAATTAAACATTTAGACCATACTTACTTTTTCATTTCAAAACATGATGGATTTGGAATAAACATGTAACTTCAAGTGCCAATGAATGAGTTGCCAGTAATCGAATCCTTGTGTTTGGGCATAGATTTCTGGGATTGCCATGGGGGAAAACATTGCAACTTGGCTAGAGGGAAAAGTATGGCCAAAGGTTGTTCTGACATCCAAATTTACTATTTGGAAGAGATTAATGCTTTTTTGGCACTGTTTTATCAGAAATGGATTTGGGTAATGCTGCCACATGGGAAGCACAAGTTTTTGTTTGAACAACCATGAAATTCATGTATGTAGTAAAATCTACCGATTAACTGGTCTTCATGTGCAAGGTTTATTTTGAATTTGATGTTGTGTAATGGTCTTGAAATTTAGAAAAACTTACTTTAAATTGCTAAGAAATAACTTAAAAAAAAAGCCTTTTAAGTTTTTTGTATGTGTGTTAAGTCTACTTCTAGCTTTTTCCTTGGCTTGGTAATACAAAAGAGCACATAAGAGCTACCTCGAGGTAATGGGATATTGACATGGTGTGCTTGGGCATTAAATATTATCGTGGTACGTTAAAGTGATTTTAAAAGCACCTACACTGTTTCTCTGTTGTGATCAATGAGAATGAACCAGTGTTTATAATCAGCTCAAAACTGAACCCTGAGGATGAGTAGGTACAAATAGGTCACCTAAGGAGTGATGCACAACTGATGATATATCCACAGTGCTTTTCTGACAAGATCCTCCAAGGATTTCAAGGAGAAAAGTTGCTGCTCAAAGACCTTTGGATTTTTCTCTAACAAACTATCACTTGACCGATGGATATCCTCATGTTTTTTCATGGCTTATTTCATTCTTTCAGAGAGTAACAGCTATGCTGTTAACGGAAACAACCTTTTGCCATACATTCTTTCCAGCGAGTTGCAATGTTTGCTCCATGGCGATTCCAGAAATCTGTGTACAAACACAAGGGTCCAATTACTGGCAACTCATTCATTGTGCCACTACAAGAACTCAAGGACTAGTTCCAAAATACTAAATCACTTTTTGTTTTGACGTTCCTGCACATATTTTATGTCAGAAAAATGATGAAAAAAACCACAGTGTTGAGAATTGAAATAAGTACCTCACTCATCTTAGCCTTAGATTTGAAATTTGTAAGGATATTTGTAATGTGCATATTAGTTGTGTTCTATCAACCAGCAGTGAAGATTGCATTAAACCCTTACACTGCCTTGGGTGACCAAGAAAAAAATTCTCCTTACGTCAAGCAGATGAGTGAGAAGAAAGAAAAATATCACTTAGGGGGATTGTTAGTTGATCCAACACCAAATTCCCTCAACTCACACCATAAGAACTGTATGGCAGACAGTAGGAAGAATTACTAAATGAGATCTTGGGAATGAAAGGATTAATGTGGCAGGGTACTCAGCAGT